AGTATTTATGTAAGTTTGGATGAACTGCCCATCATTTCTCATGTTAGCGATATGAAATATTTTTTAATAAATTAGCATTTTTGATCGGTAACGCGCTTTAAATTAAAAGAAAAAGTTTGTGTGATTTTCATGAAATGAATTACTTANATGCCAGGGTTTTATGTTCCTGGTCAGGCTATACTAACATTTGCTGTGTTTTAGTGAAAAAATAAGGTTTTCGGACTTTTAATGGAAAGTGATTAAATCCATTGTTTTGTCTTTGTTTGCGGCTTGCGCGCATTTACACCTCAGCTGGAATGAAAAACGAAACGCAGCTGGAAAAGAAGCGCCAATGAATTGGAACCCCGGATTATTCCCACCTCTCGTTCCCACCGCTGCAACTCCTGTGTATCTGTCCCAGGCAAATTGTATGACTCCGCATTTTACAAACGGCGTCCCAAATAAAACCCAACCAGTGAAGGTCAAGTTTGTCCCGGAAATTGGATGCTTTTAAGCAAATACTTTAAATTCGAAATTAACTATATTATATCTGACAGTTACAATCACGTTCAAATCGCTGAACCATGCATTTTTATAAAAAGAAAGATACTGAAAGCTGGAAAATATGTATCAATATTATAGGCTGTAAAATAGAGTGAGTATTTACTTATGTAAGTTTGGATGAAATGCCCACTATTTCTCATATTATTAGCGATATGAAATTTTATTTTTTTATAAACACAGAAGTTTGGATGAAATGCCCACTATTTCTCATATTATTAGCGATATAAAATTTTATTTTTTATAAACACAGCATTTTTGGTCGGTAACGCGCTTTAAATTAAAAGAAAAAGTTTGTATGATTTTCAATAATGAANATTACTTATTAGTCACTACTAGTTCTCATTAAATGTAAACTATAGAAGTGTGCTATGTTGTTGTTTATTCCAACCTCTAATATATCTGTTAATTTGTTTTACAGAGTTAAATAAACTTTATACTGTAGTTACGACCACAGTGTGGTCTGAGCTTTAAGAGCAAAGTGCTGCCGCATCCGACGATAGTATTAACTACTTTTAAATGTTCCGTGTACCAACAAAGTGAGTGTGGGGACAATACTAAAACTCCTTTAAAGCCTTCTTAGTGCAAATAAAATTCAATTTACAACCTAATCTCAGAGACACTGTTCCTTGGGAAAGGACGGTAAATAAGATTACAGGATTTTTCTTGGAAAGTGAAGGTACTTTAAAAGCTGTCTAAATAAAATGTAAGAATAGATGATGGTCACAAATTAAACACTGAGATTACAAATTAGACTTAGCTAGCTAGTTATCGTATTTGGAAACAAAAACCTATATTATTGTTTACTTATCCTATGTATGTAGTTTACTTTTTTGCTCTCTAGTAACGTAAATGATAAGTAAAAGTTACCTAAAACCTGATTTATTTTGGGTTATAATTAGAATTAATAATTCTTCCTTTTAAAATTTTCTCAAATTACCACATAAACAAATTAACAACTTAACTAAGTATAGCAAAGTCTCGAAAAATAATATTAATCGATTAAATAAGTTTTTCTGTTCAAAGCTTTCAAACACCTAAACAAAACAAAGCCTAAAACTTTGCAACACTGTAATTTGAAACACAATCAATTAAAACTTTACAAAAGTGCGGTCATTGGATTAATTACAAATACATCGCTAATGAAGCTACGGTTTTAGTGATCGTGGACAATTTTCCAGTACAAGAACTTACAAGTGGAACCTATCACAAGTTGGTCCATTAACGACCGTATCGATGAAGTTTTGAGCTTGTGACTTGCACATGACTGCACTTACTCACTGATGCTTAAATATTTGTCTGTAGGAACAGTAGAAAAGTTTAGCAATATGATACTCGTAATGATTCCTGAAGAAATGCTTTTACCGAATGGGTCTGAGCTGGGTTCTGAAACTAAACATCAGTGGTTGAAAGTCACTAACTGCTTCAACTTTTTCTGGTTATTTATGTCCGCTTTTACCATCAATACCAAATTTTAAGCGATTCCTATGATAACACATCACAGGAATTTTGTTTTTATAGAGGTCACTTAAAATTTAAGGATTATCGGTAAAAACAGGCATAGTCTCCTCTGATCTCCCTGATAAGGGTAAATGGAAGATTTACCTGTCCAGACGGATTGAGGAACTTTGATATTCGCATTAAACCATTGAACACAACTACTGAGATTTCAATTTTGTACATAAGACAATACAAAAAATTCTATTATACTCGTAGTCTGAATTTTCATCTCATATTTTAACTATGTCGTCAAATATAGTTAGGTTATCTCAAATTGTTTTGACCGTAGAGAGTTCTACANCTACTACGTTAATGTTAGTTGCCCTTATTGAGTTACAAGATTGCCTACGTCTAATAAAGGATCGTATTTACTCACGTGTGTACCTATGTACTACATTTTGTTTCGGTAGTAATAGTAAACACAGCTCCAATCTTCGAGGCCAGCCATCAATATCGTTATTACCTGTAATCCATCCCCAGTTGAGCAGTAATAAATCTTAATCCGGGATTGAAGGCAATAGACAAGGTCTACAAGGCGATATAGCTCAAGACGTCAATGCTAGAATAACGAATAACGGTAACTCGGTAAATCCATATTCCCATGAGAAACAAAAAAAAATATTTTTATTCTGCGTTAAAATAATTTTCGATATGGCCATGAAAGCACGTGCGGAAAGGATGCCTTTTTTGAAACGCTATCACGTTCGCAGTCATTCCATTTTTTTTCATGCATGCGAAACCTCGCAGAACATAACAGAAAATGTAGGTATATTCATTTTACAAAAATTGGCAACAACGAAATTTTAAGTAATTTTTTGGGTTAAAACTTGTGTTAGAGAATTTCAGGTGCCTTAGACTCAATCTAAGGTCTAGTTTAATGAAGGAGATACTCTCCCGGCTTGTAAGGTTCTGGGTTCAATTCCCAAATAGGACAAACACAGTCTACCTAATTGTATAACTTTGAACTTGAACTTTATTTCGACCACTTTTATTTTTTACTCACATGAAAATGATATAGGATATTGAAAACCTACACAGTTAATTAAAAGCATTTTTTACCATTAAAACCCTTTTTATTAGTACTCCGTTTTAAAAATAACAAGTCGAATTGATACCTTTTTCATCCAAATCAGCAATTTAGGCACTTCGTTTAAACTTGCGAAGTGGTTTTGAATTTAAAACAGCCTTGATTGGTAGCTTCAAAGAGTTTTGATGGGTATTTGACAAATTGACAGCCAAATTAATGGTTTAGATATTATTATAACGAAGTGGTCCGTTTACATTTAATTTATTAAAACCAATAAGGGATTAATTACCAATAATATTTCTTACAGGTTGATAAACTTTCGTAAAGATGACCTAATTCATTGGAACTAATAACGTATTAATTTATTAATTAGGTATTTAATATTACACCACGTCAATAAGGCCTATGAACGACCAAACTTGCCCATGCAATATACAAAACAAAAGACAGAATTAATCATAGACAGACCTAACTAAAGTAGGTCAAGGAAAACTGACGCCGATTCGATATCTACCCACTATTTTACTCGGAATCACCTACAGTCCAATAGCGAATTGATCTGACCAATCGCAATTTATAAGTACTTAATTTATTTACTCCATTATACGAATACTGTTTTCTTTCCACACATATTTTTCAGGGTTTAATAATTGATGAGTTATAGACCTTATTATCACAGATTATAAAGGGGATAAACAATAATTTTATTAGAATGATTTCCCTCCTGGCACAATGCGTGCTCTACTACTCCTGGCTGAAAAAAAAAAGAGAAAAAGCAATTTCATAAATGGAATCTCACGCAAAATTTCATAATACTGTATTCTGTCCCAATAAAGCTTATATTCCGCTGTGGCTGAAAGCAAACCGTGAAAGCGAAGGCACAAAAAACAAAAGTTATATGACACCATTGTAAACTTTATCTACTCACAATCAATATCTGTGGAACGAAAACAGCCGATATAAAATTGGCGGCAGAAATTTGGAGGCTGTTCGCTCGCAGCGACTTGAGGGTAACAACAATACAAAAGTTCTTGACCATGAAACTGTTTTTTTATTTGTTCATTTTATTTGTTACTCATCGATGGATCGACGGGATTTCCGAAAGTTTTCGAACAGCCTTCATTTGTTGAAACCGCCATTTTTGTCAGTCGCTCGTCGTTCAATTGTTTTTTGGGGTGTTTTGTCTTACCGCAACTGTTCGAAAACTTTGCACTCTTTATTTTGTTTTAATTTAGTCGATTTATTTTTGTCATTGATGCTCTTTAAATATTTTTTTAGTAATAAATCTTTGAAGATTTTTATTGTGGAGTCCTAAGTTTTATTTGCAACACATTTATTAAAGTTAAATAGTTTGTAAGAATTTTATCTAGGTAACTTACTTATTAGCCATAATATTGATTATTATTATAACTGATTTTCAGGTGATTTTAATACAAGTGTATCTACCCACTTACTTAACTTACAATTAATTGCAATTACATTCAAAATTATTTTACAAGTAAATCTAAAATCTCAATTTAGGAAAAATACAGAACATAAAATATCTGTGTGTCTTGTGTGTTAATTTTCATTTATGTCGTTTGCCATGAAATGATACGAATAACATTTGTCTATCAATATCCTTTTAACAGGAAGACTTAATAAAAAGTAATGGCATACAAATTTCACTCTCCTGCTCTTCTTTTTTTAGACCTTCATAAAATGAACTGCATGTAAATCGTTTTGGCGATTAAGTAGGCATCGGAGATTTTTGCCATAAATTACCATGCCAAAGGACTGTTCATAAGAGGCCCAAGATTTGCGTGAATTTAAAGCAGCATTAGACGTAATTCTTTGCTTAAAAATCTTCGATTCTTACTGGCCACGACGATTTACATTGTTATTCGCCGTCAGAAGATCAACTTATGGCTCTCAAAATTTCGCTCTCCGACAGATACGTGTTCACAATCGTGAGCTACCTGATCGGCGTGTTCATATTCGCGACCATAGTCGGGCAGGTGGGCAACGTCATCACGAACAGGAACGCCAACCGGCTGGAGTTCGAACGGCTGTTGGATGGCGCCAAAACGTACATGAGACACCATAAGGTAAGTAGAAAGTTGAGGCTGAAGCGAAGGATATTGCAAGTCTGGAAATTAACAAGTTTGTTTTACCCAAAAATGTATCCAACCAAATCCTGCTCTCAATTTGCGATTACAATCCAATCTTGCTATTAGAATTCGGATGCTTCATAAAACACTAAACTCTGCAGATTCTAGGTGCATCCAACCTAGCTGCTCTCTATTAGAGTTTGGACTCAACTCCTCAGGTCTCTAGGATATCCAACAAAACCTATGGGACTTTCTTTCCCACCACTGCTACTCCTGTGTAGCCAGGATCTACACTTTGACCGCCAATAAGGACCCAACCAATGAAGGCCAACTTTGTCCCGGCCGGAGGAAAGTTTGACTGTTGTTGTTGACAGTCTTGGGATCCGCAAGGAAATCCTTTTTCAAACTCCTCCTAAGTATGTGCTTTTCACTAATTTGGATGCTTCTATAAAACGCTCAACTCCTCAGGTGGCAGATGTATCCAACCTAATCCTGCTTGCTCTCAGCTCATCAGTTCCCTGATATATCCTGCGAAAACCTGTGGTACTACTAGGATGCTCACTATTTGAAATCGAAGGAATTTCTAAGACGCCCTTCAATTCCTCAGGTCCCTGGAGGGATGAAGCGCAGGGTCCTCCGCTGGTACGACTACTCGTGGTCGCGCGGGCGCATCCAGGGAGGCGGCGACATCAACACCGCCCTAGGCCTGCTGCCTGACAAGCTGAAGACTGAGCTGGCTTTGCATGTCAATTTGAGCGTGCTGAAGAAGGTAATGTTAGAATATATCCAGGTTTGGTACAACTCTACCTTTATGGTAAAGAAGTTGTGGTACTCGCCAAAAGACTTCGGCATTCTTGCAAACCAGAATAAGACTAACATTCACTCTGAACATTGTAATTAGTTGAGATCGATAAGTAACAATTCAGTCATAAACTTGTGTACAAATTAACTAAAGTCCATTGGCTCAAAAAATACCTATGTACGTACCAGTCAACCCTACTACAGATCATGAAAGTAATTTCATCTCAAATTGCTTTTGAATCTTATTTGTGATTTGATAAAATGTCACGACGTATATGACCTAAAAGCTAAATGGTCAACTCTTTCTCATTCACAGGTGACTATTTTCCAAGAGTGTCAACCAGAGTTCCTTCATGATCTAGTATTAAAAATGAAAGCCTACATATTTACGCCAGGAGACTCAATATGTAGGAAAGGTGAGTAAACTAACAAACTATTTGGAAAGTAAAACTAGATTTTTTTTGTATATCCTCGTATAATTACTTATAACGTAACGTATTGTGTTTCAGTTATTTAACGTATCATTTAAGAAAATAACCAACTAACTTACTCATATATGCTAGGACTCCTACAGGGCTCTATTTTAAGACCATTATAATTGCAGGGGAAGTGGCCAGGGAGATGTTCATAATAGCAGACGGAATTCTAGAAGTTATATCAGAAACGGGACGAGTTCTGACGACTATGAAGGCTGGAGACTTCTTCGGGGAAATAGGAATACTGAACCTGGATGGACTTAACAAGTAAGAACATAATTTTTAATCGAACTATTTCAAGACCTTTCTCTCCTCTTCGGCTGATCTTTCTATTGTGTCCTGTTAGAAGATCAGCTATCTCTGAATTTACCGCACACTACTTATTTGAAATATTCACATGTTGAAGAAATCCCACTACTATAGTTTCAATATTTCAATAAACTTAACAGAATTCAAGCCATACCTGTACTGTGCTTAAATCTGAATTCAACTACAATAGCACCAATCTCTCTCTTCTCTACCACTCCGTCTGTATTTCAAATCTGTTCATTACCATTCCATCTTTAATTCTCAAAGTGGTAGGAGAGATTTGTTCTACAACTTTGAGGCTCCATTATAAGGGTCTCGAAACCTTGATTTTTATCATTTCTTCCATGTCCACAGGCGAACAGCAGACGTGCGATCTGTAGGGTACTCGGAACTGTTTTCCCTGTCCCGGGAAGATGTCCTAGCAGCCATGAAGGACTACCCCGAAGCTCAGGACATACTCCAGACCCTGGGCAGAAAGAGGCTGCAAGAGGCGAAGAACATGTCTCGGAAACATGCGAAAAGTGAGTCATTGATGTATAGACAACAGCACATCAACATAAGCACCGTGGTATCTTATACAGTTGCAATAAGTTCCATTTTAAAACAAAAATTAATAGTCTGATATGCCGTAGACTGTAGAGTCGCGTAAAATCACCACACAATACAACGAAATAGATTTTGAACACTTTTTAGCCGACTGCGCCAAAAGGAGGGTTTTTTTATAAAGTTATACAGCACGAAAGCCTCCCCAATCCGTCTCGCCTTTGTGGGGAGTGCAGACCAAATCCTTCATTTGCTTTTGGTAAATCGCAGAGGACGTTTCTTGCAGTGGATGATGATAACAAAGTACAAAATAAATTGGGGTAACTCTTCTTAGTGGTAACTGCTGCCTAATATTACCTATACAAAATCTGTTATTTCTATGTTTTTCAAAAATACAAGCACACATGGCTTTAGTTTCTTCGTTATTAGAGCTAACAGAATGGATAATTTTACTTTAAAAGAAGTCAGTTAAAAATAAAGGCCAGTTTTATCTACAAGTTCCTCATAAATTTCTATTATTTTGCTTAGTATTTTACCCTAGTAAATTGATTTTCAGGAGACCTAAGCCCGGACAAGATAGCCGGGGACGACAGCGGCCCAAAACGTATTGTGCATAAAATAAGGAGCGATGTTAAGGTTTGTAATAGAATATTTCTAATACTCTTGGGAAACGTTACTTAGAACAGTTATATCAGTTAGTTACAAAATTATCTGTAGGACAAGCAAAACTTTTTTTTAATTAAAATCTTAGTTTAAAGAACTATTTTAAAGATTATACTTAGAGTGTACCTATTGAAAACTCGGAACACTGACGTGAGTCTGATATTCTGAACTTACCACTAAAAAAAAATTTTTTTTCTCAAAAAGTTCGCTTTAATAGAGCACTTTTAAACTGACCAAAATTCACAAAAGCACATGTGCGAAAAATCTCGGTCATCGCTTCTAATTAAATTAAAAATACATTATAAAACAAAACTTCATTTTGGGCCGTAAATTAAAACACCCTACATTTATCCGACTTGAGAGGGATTACAATTTACAGCGGCCATCTTACACAATTCGTTTACCCTCAAGTTTAGGGCGGTTTCAGACTAGAGTTTTTTTCTGCGCGTATACCTACTACGGTCGTTGCATACGCGTTTACACGCGTGCTACAACGCGCTACAAAAAACTGTACTAGCGTAGGTACCTACACATGGTCCCGGCTAATCCTATCGGCCCCCCGAAAAAAAAAAAGGTACCTACACATGCATATTTCAGCGTGTTCGCTCGAACCGAAAGTGGTCTCTCGCTCTTAAGTAAATTTACCTTTGATTTCGAAGTCGAACCTGAATTTCGAACTCCTCCTATGCCCACTAATTTCGTTGCCGATCCAATGACAATTTACCTAACTTTCCCCTGGGACAAACTTGACCTTCACTTGTTGGGTTTTGATTCTGGCTACACAGAAGTTGCAGCAGTGGGAATGAGAGGTGGGAATAGTCCCATTCCAAAAACGAGCTTAAACGCGCATGTAAAACGCTAGTCTGAAACCGCTCTTAAGCGCTTTCCGCGCCAAGATTAATCGCCCTTCGGTGAAACGAAACAGATTAATGAATTGTCTCGAAAGACTTGCCTTCGTGTATTGTTTACAATGCTAGTAAAAAGGTGATGATATAAATTATTTATTTGCTGAACAGAACGAACAAGAACAGTTTTCCATTTTCTTGTGTAGTCTTCTGTTTTTTTTTTAAACTTTATGAACTTACTAGGTACCTACCATTATTTAAATATGGTAGATTTTCTAGGTTTATCCATGATCAATATTGATAGTCTTAAATATTATTCTATCGACAAATGTTTGCATTAATATTGTTTGCAGTACCTAAATTAGAAACTCATTACTACAGCATGATCCAAACCTAAAAAAATTCAGTCATTTATGATAAGAACTGAAAATCGTACTCAAACTAACTAAACAGTTACCATATTTTTTACTAACTTACCTACTGATACTGCATTCACCCTTTTAGTATTATGATTGTACAACCTGACCCCTCACCTGTTCTGTCATTCGTAGGGTATCCGCAACGCGATCCGTAGTAGGTCCCGAGCTACCCGCCGTTCCGGGGAATCCCTAGAACTGCAAGCCCTAGCCGGGACCGAAAGGACTGGTACCTCCGACGCCAAGGTCCTCAGGAGGATGCCGAGAGTTGAGAGTGACGACTCACAACCTCACAACCATGAGGTAGGCGAAAGCTAATAATTCGTTCGTTTCAGCCAAATAATGTCCACTGCTGGACACAGGCCTTCCTCAAGGATTTCCACGACTGGTACTGCGCTGCAGGCATCCAGGTGTTTCCCACGACCTGCACCAGATCGTTGGTTGGTCCACCTAGTGCGAGACCTGCACACTACATCTTCCGGCCTATGGTTGCCAATCCAGAACTTTTCTGTCCCAACAGACCAATAAATTATCAGTCAAACATTTGAGCTGGTCTAATTAGTTTTTCACGTTACAGGATATCAATGGGGAAACCACATCAGGCAGTAAAGATGGAGAAAAGTGCATCTCGCCAATTGGAGCTGGACTACCTTTGCTGTCGCGACTGAAACTGCTCAAAGAAAAACAGGTACAAATCCAACTTCATTCTTATAAAATAGTGATAAAAGTTTTGATCATGCTATATCAATTACTTATACTGATATTTTTTGACAGGATCGTGAAGAAAAAGTAGCGAAACAAAGGCATTCAACATCTTCTGTCATATCTCCACCTCCAGCACAACCCACTCCCTCAACCAGCTCTGCTCCTGACGGAGAAGCAGAAGTCATAGGAGCTGGCCTTCCTCTCCTTCAAAGATTATTACTCCTGAAGGCCAAGGAAGAGAGAGAGAAGAATCAGCTGACACCATCAACCAGCAATCAACCTTCAAGCTCAGATACCATCAGCCCCAGTTCAATAAAAAGTCCCCTAAGTCCAACGATTAAAACCCTCAGTCCTATCAGAAAAAGTTCAGAATCAAGTAGCCCAGGAAAATTACATAGTCCCACAACAAAAACTTCCAGGAAGAATTCGTCTGGCTCTAGCGATGGTGCTTCTCGACCTAAAGTTAGTTTTAAAGATAAGATATTACAAGTGCAAAGTGACGGCACTGCTGTATGTCAGCCCCTAAATAAAGATGTTAGTGAAAAACCCGCAGCAGTGGTTGAACCCACTCCTAAAACAGAAAGTAACCTAATATCTATTCCTCATTCAGTAGTAAGCAAAATTAAATCACCAGCTAAAGCTGTAGGATCAACTTTTAGAGATAAGCTGAAATTACTTGGAGTTCAAAAAGACAATGACAGTGCTACAGTAGAACGAAGCAAACCAATTCCAATAGATAAAGCTTCCATTGAAATAACACCTTTACAAACCACTGAGAGTAAAGAGGAAGTTAAAACTAAGAAACCTTGGACAAAACTAAAAAAGGCCGCTATTTTAGGGGAGTCTAAGAGCCAAAGCAAATCTAGTTTAGAAGAAAAGAAAGATACCGAAACTAAAGATGGTAGTGAGGAATGTAAAACTGAAGCGATTGTAAATATTAGTGTGCCTCTAGTTACTACGGCAGAGCTTGTTAAAATAGACAATAATAATCTTGAAAGTGATAGTGATAACGTTAAGCAAGATAAACCTAAGATTTGCTTAACAGGCCCTTTGGAACCCGTCCAAGAAAAGTCTTTAGATTTATTAACTTTATCCCCAAAAAAGAATAACGCGACGAAAACAGCTGACCCAAAAAATGTACCAGGAGGAATGTTGCTACCTAGAGTAAAAAAATACAGATCAATAGACGATTTATCGCCCGAATACGGAGGGCTACCATTTGTGAAAAAGCTGAAAATATTAAATGAGAGACAAAAATTGGCTGAACTAGAACAAGTCGTAAAGTTTCGCAGCTCAAGTCTAGACTGTACAAGTTCGTCTGAAGATTTGCTTTGCGATACTCTAACTAGGAGCCATTCTGAAGGTAGCACAATGTATAAGAGGAAATTCAAAAGAAAATCGAGTGATGCAATAGGATGCCATGAATCGAATGAAACTTTAGAAAGGCGAACCCTGAAGTCTATTTTGAAGAAGTTATCAGAAGATGTGACTCCAAGTGAAAGCCCTGAAAGAACTAATGAACTACGGAGGTTAATACGAGCACCTACTTTAGAAGGATATGCTGCTAGACATTCGAAATTTGCCAAAAGTGTTACGTTTCATCGGCATACGTTACCATCTCCCCCAGGAAGTGCGCCCGTTGATAGTAATGCTGATATGTTTAGAATACCGGACGAACCGCAATTATCTCCGTTATCAATGACAGATCCGGACAGCGATTCAGTTTTCCTTGACAATCCACCCTCAAAGCCACCAAGTGAAACTGTTCCTAGTAATCAACAAGAATATGGATTAAACATTAGACCAGAATATGATTTGCCCCAAAATATAGACCCAATGTATGACCTGAAATCATTAAGGCCTGAGGAAATCAAAGTCCCTTCGGAAAAACCTAAGCTTACTATAATATCAGCCGTGGCTAATCAAAGAAAACTACTGAGAGGTAAGATAGCAATTTCACTGTTTAATATAAAAAAAAATTGTTTAAATTGGAAATTGATTAATTTACTGTTTCAGGTTCGCTAGAAGAACAAGAGTACTTTGGAGAGGTGTTACTCGGGATTAAACAAGTCATACAAGGGCATCTACATGATGTGCAGGGAAAATTTCAAGAAAGGTACTTGATTATAACTGCTCTAATAACAATAACTCTTTGACTAAACTTACCATAATTACATCCTTATTTATTGTTCTAGATTTAACAGCCTAGAAAATGAAGTAAAAAAGCGCGATGAGATAATAAGCCAGCTGCAAAAAAGAATTCAAGAGTTGGAAAGATTGGGTCTCCCAGGGGCTCCTATTCTGCCTACTGAAGAGGTATCACCATTAGCTACCCCGGACACTGTTGTGAGCCAACCATTGTCTAAAAATGGTAGCTCTGGCAGCGAAGACATATCTGGTGCTGAGGAAGGCTTTATGGTAATTTCTTTTTTGTTTATGGATGAGATGAAGACCGTTAAGTACTTGTAAATACAAGGGCACAATATTTATGCCACTTGATTTAAAGTAGAGCTAAATTTGCACCATGTATAATGTCTTTCTTAAACGTGAGGTCTTATGGATCTCAGAAAAGAATTTCTTTTTCAGAGAGGAGATTCCCTGGACACAGTTTTTGCCACATCACCCCCAACAGCAAGTGCAGATGAGGAAGAAAAAGAAAATACTGAAGCGAAAGAAACCGAAATAGAGGAAACTTATGGACCGGTAGACTTAACAGATGACAAGTTATCAGAGTTGACAGGAGGCATTGAACTAGGGAAGCTTTCATATTCAGAATTGCAAAGCTTAGCTGAATCTCTGTCGAGTAGACCTGATAAAACAAGTTCCAGCAAGGAGGAATGGACGCTAAGTAAAGCAAAGAGGCTAGATTTAAATCTAGATGGGAAGGCGGGAACGTATTCGCGGAAACGAGCGGCGAAGCTGCGGCAGAGGAAGTCTTGGGAAGACCAGAGTGATCAAGAGAGCATGGAGATGCAGGATTTGACAAGGTAAATTCATTTTAAAAGTAGATTTAAATACCTCAAAAAATTAGGCTAGTCCCGTTTCATTTACAGTTTATTAGTAGATATTATTATCAGATTCGCTTTAGAGACACAATCATAGAAAACTATATTCTAGTTAAGCGTGTCTATTAATAAATTATTAGAAATAGCAAACTCATGCTCAACAGCTCAACTACTCACATATCACTAATAAAATTTTAAAAACACTATATCAATATTATCTAGACCTCACATGGCACACGACTTAGATTTAGAATGCACTTAGGGTACACTAATGCTATGCAACTATACTGCACATACACATAAAGACATACTACCAAAATATACCAGAGGGATCTATCAACACATTTTCTCCAGGCCAATTTCCCCGCAAATGACCTCCGAAGACCGCTCCCTCCTCAGCCCAGAGCAGTCCAGTCTCCGCAGCAGCAGGCGCGGCATCCACCCGTTCCACTTCTTCGGCAGCCACCTCGACACCACCAAGTCGAAGATCAAGAAGACGCTATCCGTCGATACTGGGATGCATCACACTGGGAGAAATGATAAAAGTAAGTTGTTCTTCGTGTACCTTTGTGGATCATAAGCTATCGTCAAGGTACATTAATATAATTTAGGCATTATTTTTCTTCATTCAAGGTGATATTTACTTTGTTTTAATCAGACTGGTGCTTTTATAGTCAATTGATGAAGATCATGCACGAACACATAACATCTTTGACATACTGGAAGAATCATGTTGATTACTCATCCAAAGGTATCTGGTGAAACTCATTCGCCATCTCTAAACTAAAAAATATTACAATAAAACTTGTGGTTGTGGTTGAGTAGAGAAGTTAAGTCATGAAAGAACGAGTGCTGATGAAAAAGTTTTTTTAAGCCTGCAGAAAACAATTTTTAGCCTGGAGCTAAGTAGGCTTAGCTCAGGCTCTAAAGCATTATTTTTTTAGCAAACAATAAACTAAAAGCAGTTTATGCCAGTTATGAGTAACAATAAACATAAGTCCTGTCTATCCACCATCACAGAATCCAGTGGGCAGCGTCAACACCGCAAGTTCAGTCTGGGCTCGTTCTTCGGCTACCGCGGCGCGTCGCACAAGACACCAGCTAACTGCAACGAGGTGGTCCTCGATATGGGCAGCGATTACAGCTGGAGTGACACGTAAGTAACACAGTTTGGCATTTAAATATTGGATAAAGTTATATTTTGCATAAAAGTCCTTTTTATGATCTTTCAAAACCATGTTCCATAGAATCAGTTTATATAAAAATAGGTACAGAGATGGGACGTCACTCCCTGTAACTTCATCCGCCTAAAGTCCGTATTCCTCGAATTGTGTGATGTAAGCTACATAATATGTATGTTTACTTAAATTACTAATAAATTCTTCTATAAATAACTGNTTCTTTCTTTACAGTACCTCCACATCTTCAAGCAGTGACTCGGAGTCTTTGCCTCGCACGCCAATGTTCGAAGAGTTCGTTGAGAACAGCTCGCGAAGAGGTCGTGCCAGCAGTTCGAGTCACAGCAGTGTCTCTCCAATCAGAGGTAATAAATTACTGTTATTTCGTTTTCCACTTATCGTGTTCCAATGGTTAGCAAGGTGGACGTACCAATACTGGCAATAAGTGGTGACTGAGTTTGTTCCGGCGTTTCTTCTCAGCACTTGCCAATTATGTTTTTCTCGAAGCGCTGGTAGGGCCCAAAAGATAAAGAGACATGTAAAATGCCCCATAAGGGCTACCTTTTCTTATTTTTTGACGTTCATAAGTGCCACTTGTGGTCTAAACTGAATAAATGATTTTGATTTTGATTTTTTGATTTTGGACTCCTTCCACTCAGATGTCATGGTTTCTATTCTCAGAGAAATGTGTAAAGTAAACCACAATTGAAGAATTTCATATTGGAAAATTTAAAAGTTTAGTAGGTAAGATAGTAAGTAAAATGTTCCACCATTTTGTTTTTGCAGGTAGCGGTGGTGACTGGGAGGTAATGATGCTGGCAGACGAGTTGGAAAAGCGAGAGAGGGAAAAGGAGAGGGATGATGTAAGGAGACACCACTTCCCATCCACGCTTCGGGAGGAGGAGGTCAGGATATTAAAGGAAAACTGTGTAGCTAGAGTATTATTTTTAGTCTGGTTTTTCGACACCATTCAAATTTTATTGGATATCCAACGATCTATTGTGACAATTCTGAAAAATTATAACAAAACTTCTGCAGTCTTCCTCCGTTTGGGTTTTAGCTTTAAAGTTACATTGACTGGATATTCCCTTCCCTTGAAAAAAACCTTTAATACCTACTCAACTGAGGTTCAGATTGTATAATATGAAATCATGTATTGACAGTTTCAATAAATATGAAGGAGAGTCGAAGTCTTAAACTCTTTTCAGACTTCTTAGCTATACAACTTTCATAATTTGTATGGAAGTTCTTAAAGTTGTAAATATTAAAAATGACAAAACTAGTTATGACCTTACAGGAATCCGACACGCTCCAAAGAGATGACAGCGCGGACGAATTCTCCAACATCGAAGACTCCAACTCCTCATCCACCACGCACCTTCTCTCTCAGTCCATCAGCGACCCCTCACAGCGGTCCATGGAGACCTCCTTCACGGAAGCCAGCAGTAGATCTGGGAGGGAAACCAGGCAGCAGCGGGGTGGATCTCTGGTGGAACAGGTATGAAGTTTCACACATGATCGTTTTAAAGCACTTCTCTTGGTCTCTTTGTCGTAAAAATGATAAGTATATTGAAAGAGATATGGCATTGAGTTTAGACTAGAATTTTATTGTAGGTCATTTATTTTTTCACAAGATAGAAATGTTTAAAATGTAGGTAACTGTCTATAACTTGGATCTAAATAATTTTGTAAACCTTTGGAAAGGGGCTCACAATAGTGACTGAGTTTCTTGCGCTATTCTCCTCAGCACTGACCCACATTATTGTCTTGAATCAGTGTTAGGGTTGGAATTACATTGGGAATTTGAACGTATTGATAAGCAAGGTGATTGCAAAATGTCATTTTTACGATGTCGTCCGTTTTTTTGTCTTCAGAGTCGTCCAGATTTAACTCTTCGCCAGTCAAGAGGGCTGATCCTCCGAGCCGCCAGCCTCGACCGGGAAACCACTCCTGCACCCTCCCAAACTCGCCGGTTCGGATCCCTGAAGAGCTCATCCACCGATTCTCATAAGAGGCTCTGATCCACTCACACTCACGGGCCAACTCACAGGCCCGATGGTCACAAAAGTATAGTTAATAACTCCAAATCAGTCGAGCCAAGACTGACCACTATATCGCGTGATTTTGAAAATCATCTAGACGATCAGTATAGTCGCATTAAAGGCGAAGAGCCATCTTGTAGCGTAGAGGATACTATCAAAAATAATCGTAAGAAATCGAAATACTCTTTTAGTTTAAGTAATGATAATTGTTTAGAGAGAAATGTTGAGGACAGTCTGAGAAGAGAAGAAATACATCAAGGGTTAAGTGGAGATAAAAGTAAGGAAATTAGATGTGACAGAAGAGAAGTTACGATCAATAGTAATAAAAAACAACATCTAAAACGTGATGTTTTGCTTAATCCATATGAAAAGAATAAAAGAAATTGTGACAGTGGCTCAAGTCTTAATACTTATTCTTTCAATATGAACAGGGATTATAAACATTTGGTCCAAGCTAACAAAAGTAATAATTTGCAGCCAGAATCTAGCAATATTTCGACTAATAGAGGACATGTTAAAATACAATCGTTTAAAGAACCAAAATCTTATAATAATGATCCTACCCCACCTTGTCATAGCGAACGTACTAGACAAAGAAAACTCGGTAAATTTAAAGTCCATGTAAAGAATCAAAGATCTGAAAGTGATGAAAATCGTGAACGCAGACCAAATGCAATGAATAGAAGGGATTCTATCGTTAGTGATTATGAAATTGATAATAACGGACAAGATTTGAGGGTTGTAAGTAACGAAAGAAATGGTAATATAACTTCCAACGCTGGGAATTTGGGTGTGGGTCAATTATCAATGGTGATCATTTTGTTCTACGAAGAAACGTCGTACATAATATTTGTTACGTTTGTAGAATAGCTCACTGGATACTTATTTTTAATCTCTAAAACTATTTAAGTTAAAATCTAGACTGTAAACGTAGTTTTCGACTCTTCTAAGTATAATTTAGCTGAACGAATAATACTATCGAATATAGATATTCTTAGTTCGTCCTTAGGTAATTAATTTAGAAGTTTAACTTCTTATGTTAGAGACGAACGAATATTGTTGATATGTTTTGTATTACAAATATACTTTCTGGGCGGTAAAGCACAAAAAAACAGTGTAGTCCAGTTTTTATTATAATAGCATTAACATAAAAATCTGTATGTTTCTATTTAAATTGTAAAACAGTTAAATGTTAACTAAATTAAAATATAATTAATAATGTTACTTACTTATTATCCAAGTCACGAATTTTAATATTATTTTATTTAATAAAGTTTATAAATGTGTCAGTTCCTTTCTACTTTCGAATTTTGTTATTGTAATAAGTACTTACATTAATTAGATAAATAATTAATTATCGTACACATAATCATATTTATTGTTATTGTCTCAGTGGTATATTGAACTAAAGTGGCTCTTTTATCAAAAATCCAGGGTGCTCCCAAAAGCTGTCAAATAAAAATAATGCCATTGATGAAATTTGGATGTTCGTCGATTATTTTTTTAATCCCTACAGTAAAATAAACTATTAAAAAGATAAAAAAATACGTTCTGGTAGAATCATACTTTATTCGATGAATACAAAAATTTTGGAACTAAATTATAAATTAAATTCACCAGGAAATTAAAGTCAGATTCTACCTTTTACTTATCCATAAATTAGTTTTTTATGAACTTCAAATTTATTTTCTGTAAAAAGCACAACTTAAAAACATGAAAATATTGTTCCAGTTATTTATATTAAATGTCAAATAAATATTGAAAATTTAATTTACAACATAAAATTTAGATAGGTAGGTATATTTCTATGAAAATATAAAATAACTGCATTTAATGTCCATTTTAGTGATTTTAGTGCCAAACAAATTATTATTCTGTAGAAATTTTTCGAATTCTAATAGATGTTACGATAAAAAAGATGTTACTATGTAAATAATATGTAGTTTAAGGCACATAAAACGTAATTTTATTGAAAAAATAACGACTATTATCTATATAAATAAACTAGTGAGATATTTATAATGCGTAACTAACTATAAGTAGTTGTAGGTACGCATTATTTAGATTCATTTTAACTACTTCTGAAAAAAAATTAAATGCATTTCCTTTACTTTTTATAATGAACTAGCGTCTCTCCTATCGCCTATCTGGATTTCAGTCTTTCAGAGGTCTAACAGGCTTTTCAGGATCAAGTATAAAATCCTTTACAGACTTTTTTAAGCTACAGCTCTTGGCCTAACATTAAACCTGATAAAAAGTAATAATCAGGCGGAAAGCTAAAGGCGAAAACAATGTGACTTTCAGCATTTTAAAAGCTCTATCTACTACGCCGAATCGATCATCAAAATTAAGTGAATGATACGAAAAACTACAATTTCTTTTTTCTTTCACGTTTCAGGAAGAAATTTCACTACTTTTTAACCAACTCCAAAAAAAGAAGGAGGTTCTCAATTCGAGTGTAGGTCTGTATGTTTTTTTTTGTCTAATTTTTTCGGTCTGAAAGACTGTGCTGAAACATAAAAGCTCGTTGAAGTTATTTAATTTTCATATTTTCGTCAAAGCATACAAATGCCAAATCATATTTGCCAAAATTTCTAATATTTACCTATTAATAAAAGGTAGGGTAGGTATAGCGTTGTGCCACCTACCTACTTACTCACCGGAAAAAAGTCCTTTTAATAAAATTAAAGTCGTACAAGTTCTAGAACCCTTCTGAAATTTCCACTACCTACAAAAACCGAATTTTAATAATGATCATAATGTAAAATAGAAATAACTGGGTACAATTTTATATTTTATAACGTAGTAAGTAACTTGTAATTTAGCACAAGGTAATGTAATATTATTATTTCAACTAAATTACCTTTTAGACTTTAATAAAGTCCAATTAATTTAAGGCATGATATTATATTAAATAAATATAAAGATACAGAGCACTTTAGTGAGATAGATACTTACTATGACAAATGTAACATTTTTCATTACAAAATTTAGTTTTAGGTGTAAAACTCATCTGAGGAGAATGAAAAATAAATTAATTTAAAGGATAATTCACTTTGTTTTTATTAATTCATAATTATCTAAGTCGTGTCCATTATTTAAAATACCCACCTACCTACCCTATAACACCTGGCCCAGGACCCAGTAGAAAACTGTTAACACAAACTAACGAATCAAACTCCATAATAGAAAATTTTTGTTTTTATTATCCTCTCTTACTTATATTATAATTGGTGGGGTCGAGTAGACTAGGTGCCTCATATAAAATATGACTTTTATGGTTAGCGTAGGAACTCTACCTGGTACCCTACCTACCCTCCATAAAAAGTCTTCATAACGCACACACGCGGCGTGGTGGCGTGGTCGGTCTGATTCAAATTCTAGTTCTTTATGACCAAATCGGTGTATTCGGTGTCGACCAAATGTGCGCACATTACGTCCCTAATTAACAGTCCGATTAAACGATAACTATCGGCCTGTAAAAAGACTGTAGTCTGGACTCTAGCTCTAGTCTACTTGCACGTTTTTTTAGCTGAACCAAAGGTCATTAGATAAACAGGCAACAAATCAAGACGGACCATGACTCTTGGAGGACCACATCAATGTAAAATGAAAATCGTGAACGTGAACGCATCCTTAAGACATTGGCGAAACTACCAAACGCAAACTGCGAAAGCCAAGAAAAAAAAAGTTAATCAAAATAAAAAAAAAACAAAATGTCATAGGCCAAATCGATATAATTATGCAAATGGAATCAAAACAGTGGATTGCAGTGTAACTTGAAATGCTCATTTCAGAAAGAAAATGTAACAAAGAATTTTGATTGTTGTCTTCTACAGCTGCAATACTTAGTGATATTAATTGAATTAACCTTATTTCTATTTCCCTTGTATGAGTCTCGGTCCTCAAAATGTCGCCTCGTAAACAGCCATGTAGTTTATTCAAGTTGTGCATCAAAAGCTGCGTCAATTTAATTAATTCTGCTTGCTATGTTATTGAGAAAAGTTATCCAGAGAATATGTTTGACGAATATGAGAGTCATTTCTTGGATTTGAAGTGCCATCTGATGTCAATGCTGCCAGTCAGGTATCTAACACTTGTTGTTTTTATCATCTGTTTGCTAAACTTATTTTCCAATTTAACATTGTGAAATGTGCGAACATATTTAACTAATTTATTGTACTGCTCTAGTGCAACAACCTAAGAAACCATCCTTTATTATAAAGTATGAAACCTTAAAACATTCCAGTCATCCATTGATTTCACTTCTAATAAGAAGTGAACATTTTAATCTAGTTGTTTGGATAGTTGTTACACTTATAGCAGTCTCAAAACAGAGCCCCGATTACGGTAACTTTTAACGTCTACAATCCAGACGCGTTTCTGATTCTGCAATACGATTGGTCAAAACAGCTGACGTACGCTGTTGAACGACCAATCGTATCGCAGAATCGAGAAGCGTGTCTGGATTGTTGACGTTAAAAATTACCGTAATCGGGGCTCTGTATATATTTTGATAAAAGTTGAACTTTAGCCCAGCAGATATTGTAGTTAAATCTAAAAGAAATGTACACATTTCATTACCTATTACGCAGCTGACTTTAAACTGTGCTTAGTAGAAAATGAAGTAGGTAATGAAATAGTAACTTTGCTTATTTAGATATTTTTTCAATTTCAATGTACACTACTACAATTTAATAACTTCCAACTTATTTTTTGATAACTTTAATAACATAAGCTAATGCATTTTTAATTTTCCAGGTTATTTGATGTCCTCTGTTCGGAAAGAACATGCTGCCAATACCGAGGAGACCCTCGAGTCCAGCTCCATGTCCTCACGCATCCCAACATGACCGTCTTCCGCAAATGCGACCTTGACAACGGCATACCACAACATTTCTGGATCGAGACCTTGTCTAACTTCAGCCGTTTAGTTGTCTTAGATCTCAAATTCATCTGTACCGATGAAATACTCCAAGTTATCGGCGTTAGCTGTCCCCTACTCGAAGAAATCAACATTGTCTCTAGAGTAGACATCTGTAAATATCTCTTCAACGCTTCTGTTCTAGTTAGAAATGTCTCCGATGCTGGTCTTTGTTCTATTGCACATTTGAAACATCTACGAGTTCTGGCTATGGACCCGCCGCGGAATGAGAGAGCAAATCGCGTCGGTCGCTGTGTATCTCAAGCTGGCATCATAATGTTAATCAGCGAGCTTCCATTTTTAGAGGAGTTGAGGATAGAGTCGTGTGATATTGGGTCGACGTTGATAGGTACCGTCATGGACATTGGACCTTTGAGTCTCAGGAAAATTAACAGCCATTTTGCTTCGGCAGATGGCATCAGAAAGCTTATAAAAATTTGCCCATTTTTAAGGGAATTATCAGTCACACATCTGTCAGAACACAACAAAGATGCAATATTGGATCAGATATCATTGAGTGATTTACGGCTAAACAGGTTGGATTTATCATTCTTCTCCTATACGGATTCAATGCAGCGACTTTTAAGTATAAAAGGCAACTATTTAACTCACTTCTCTCTTTGGGAGATTGACCATTCATTGACATTGGATGCCGTGTTATCCATAGGACAGTTTTGTCCTAATATAAGTACCTTGTGTCTTATGACTCAGTCAAAGTGTCTTGCTATACCTAGGTATTTCAAGCGACCAGAAAAAATATTCTCTAAGCTCAAAAGTTTAACAATAGGGAATGAGAATTTTAACATAGATCAAATACTGACATTCTTTCTCGATTGTACTCAGAACTTAGAGAAACTGGTCTTGAAGTATCAGACGATTACTAATTTAGATTCTACGTTAATGCATTTGTTAGAGAAAGGTAGTTTCAAGAACATAAATTTTCTATGGTTGGACTGCACTCTGGAGGTGTCCAAAGAGGTTGTGAAACATGTGATTCACACATGCGAAAAGTTACAGATGTTCACCGTGGACTTTACGGAAGAAATGACAGATGTAATTAAATATATTAATGAGAATAATTTGGATTTGAAGCTAGGTAGCTATTAGCATTCACTGTTTGTATATTTCAATGTAAAATAATTTAGAAATAAATATTTTATTATTTTTTACTCAACGGTTGTGTCATTTTTCACCTTTAGAAATAAAAAGACTAAGTTTTGTATAGAAATATAATTTTACTTAACTTATTAATGAATATTTACATCTGTGATTAAAGCAATAAGTTACATATTATTATTTTAAACATAATCATTGAATTTATGTATAAAAAATGATTGTCATTATTGATTTAATAGTAAAGTTTCGTTCATAGGAATAAAGCAGCTTCTCAGCAGCATCAGTAATTTTAATAAACAATTATATACACAAATGATAGGCATTTTTAATTGATCAATATCATAAGAACACATTATTCAATAATACATAAAACATTTACAGTTGCTAATTGTTGCCTAAAGCTAAATGCACTTACATAAAATCGTAACTTACACTAGGCTTGCACGTTGTTTTTAATAGGAAGAAGACTTCTTTATAATTAAGTAGACTGTAGGTAATGCAGTTTAACTCTAGGACATTTTATCCAATGAAAAAAATTGAATATAAAGTGTACCTAGTCCCTAATCCCAAACATTTGATACATTTGCAGAAATGCAAACAACTTAATATTATTTCTATTTGCACTACAAGACTATAATTTATTATGATTCTTATGGTGCGTCCACACTGGGCGAACGGGCTCGCGCGGCAAACTCGACAACCTGGCTCACTCAAAAGCAGGGTGAGCAGGATGACCAGCGAGCCCGTTCGCCCAATGTGGACGCACCATAATAATAACAAACTTGACGCGAAAAGGGACAACACGTTTTACAGGTCACAGATGGACACAGTTAATTACGCTTACAAGAAGTCAGTACTGACACGCGTGTGTAAACGCAGCCTTATAATGTTACAATTATGCCCGTTTTCACCATCAATCTCTAATTTTTAAGTGACCTCTATGGCAGGGTTTCCCAATTTTTTTTTGCCAAGGAACCCTAATTGATTATACTTTTCCTAGCGGAACCCCCGTAGGTACTACTCCGCCCGCACGCCCTGCCCCTCCCTTGAGCGTAAACAAGTCGGTGCGCGCGAACAACGTCAGTCACGAAACGTGGGATAATATTTTTTACGGAACCCTTGCGGCCTTTCCACGGAACCCCAGGGTTCCGCGGACCACCTTTCGGGAACCGCTGCTCTATGGTATACACTTATAATATGAATTTTGTTTTCAAAGGGGTCACTTAAAAATTGGGGTGAAAACCCATTAGATCAGCTAATGGAGCAGAATATTTCTTTACACAGCCAACATTCCTAACTTAACTGTTAAAAAACTTATCTTTCATAATACATACTCTTAGAAAAAGGATCGAATCATGAAATGAAACCCAAAATTTATACATTTCAAGCTTGACATTAGTTTAATTTCAATATTTGGCGCTTTCACAGGCCAGAATCTATTGTAACTTCATAATGGCAATAAGTTGAAAAAAATACAATATTGTACACTATCTTTGTCCAGAAATGGACGTCATTTGGCTGAAACGAACGAACACAAATTATGACAAGTCGTCCTATCCAATATAATATCCTAAATATGAGATCTCTAATAAATTACTAATAAGAGTCATCTCTAATTTCTTTTTGTCACTATTTCTAACTAAATTCACTCTCATTTTGTGTGTCCAGTACACTGGCAACACTATAATATCCTCACTTTGCATATCTGTTAGTTAAGTCTATTTTAATTTCCTATCTACCTACCTGAGGATTATGATTCCTAAGAAAACTATTTCTATCTAAAGTTTACAACCCGCTAGTGGTCGGTAATGGTTCACTCTCACTCGTGTCCGACACGGACACCGTTGTAACGTCAGTGTCCGGGATGGCCGCCCGCGTGTCCGAGCCACCGGACGCGTCGGCGCCGATCTCACATAAAGTCTTTTTCTTTCTGTCTCAAGTTTACAACCCGCTAGTGGTGGGCACAGTTTCACTCTCACTCGTGTCCGGCACGGGCACCACTGTGACGTCGGTGTCCGGGATGGGCGCCCCCGTGTCCGGGCCACAGGTCGGCACCACTTTCGCTGAATATCTAACGAATACCCAATTTAACGTAACATAAAGTATATTTCTTTCTGTGCAAGTTTACAACCCGCTAGTGGTGGGCACAGGTTCACTCTCACTCGTGTCCGGCACGGGCACCACTGTGACGTCGGTGTCCGGGATGGGCGCCCCCGTGTCCGGTCCACCGGACGCGTCGGCGCCGATCTCACTATGTCTAGCGAATACCCAATTTAACGTAACATAAAGTCTATTTCTTTCTGTCTCAAGTTTACAACCCGCTAGTGGTGGGCACAGGTTCACTCTCACTCGTGTCCGGCACGGGCACCGCTGTGACGTCGGTGTCCGGGATGGGCGCCCCCGTGTCCGGTCCANTTAAGTAGATTAGTAGACTGTAGGTAATGTAGTTAAACTCTAGGACTTTTTATCCAATGAAAAAATTAAAAGTGTAACTAGTCCCTAATCCCAAACATTTGATACATTTGCAGAAATGTAAACAAACAACATTAATATTATTTCTATTTGCACTACAAGACTATAATTTATTAAGATTCTAATAATAACAACTTGACGCGAAAAGAGACAACACGATTTTACAGGTCACAGATGGACACAGTTAATTACACTTACAAGAAGTCAGTACTGACACGCGCGTGTAAACGCAGCCTTATAATATAATATTATTATGTCCGTTTTAACCATCAACCTCAAATTTTTAAGTGACCCCTATGAAATTTTGTTTTCAAAGGAGTCACTTAAAAATTAGGGTGAAAACGCATTAGATTAGCTAATGGAGCAGAATATTTCTTTACACAGCCAACATTCCTAACTTAACTGTTAAAAAACTTATCTTTCATAATACATACTCTTAAAAAAAGGATCGAATCGTGAAATTAAACCCTAAAGGACATTGGGAACTTTAATATGAGAAAATGCCCCACGGCGGACAAAGATGAAACGTATTTTATTTCAAAGCTTTATACTTGTAGGTATATTCACTTGAAGCGCTATGTTGTGAGATATTACGTCGGCCGTTTGGTGTAGTGGTTCGAAAACGGACTACTATTACGGAGGTAGCGGGTTCGATTCCCGCACAGTACAAACATTTGTGTGCATGAACATATTTGTTTGTATTGGACTGGGTGTTTTCTATGTATAATATGTATTTACAAAAAAAAAGTATTTTAATTACGTCTATATCCGTTGGCTAGTACCCATAGTACAAGCTTTGCTTAGTTTGGGACTAGAAGCGCAGTGTAAAATGTCTAAGGATATTAAATTTATATGGGAATTCTGAGATATGACGAGTCTAAGTTGAAAATATATTTGTCTAAAATGATTTGATATTTTTACACGTTATGTTGTTTGGCATTGCAGAGTAACCAATAAAAGTAAATAAAATAATATAAATAAATAAAATATTATAAAATAAATACTTAAATTAATATTAGACAACATATATTACTCCAACCCAAAATAAGTAGCTAAGGCATTTGTGTTATGGAAATTGGGAACGACGAACCACAACACACCCAAACCAGAGACAATGTGATAAGATCGTTTTCTATATTGTCCCGGCCGGAAATCGAACCCGGGACCTCAGGATTGGCCCGGCACACCTTGAAAACCGGTGTGTGCGTCTCTCCGCCACGTAGGTCGTCAAAAATGTTACCTAAATGTAAAATAAAATAAAATATTAAAACTTCATTTTCTCAATATTTCCATATAAGAGAGAAAAAAAAATGCACGGAAATTCATTGGATATTAGTATGTTTCATCTGTGATAGGTTTCGTTTGTGTCCGCTACTTTTCGAAAAGTGGGGCAAAAAGTTCCCAATGTCATTTATACATTTCAAGCTTGACATTAGTATAACTTCAATATTTGGCGCTTTCCTGGCCAGAATCTATTGTAATTTCATAATGGCAATAAGTTGAAAAAAATACAATATTGTACACTATCTTTGTCCAGAAATGGACGTCATTTGGCTGAAACGAACGAACACAAATTATGACAAGTTCTATCCAATATAATATCCTAAATATGAGATCTTTAATAAATTACTAATAAGAGTCATCTCTAAAGAAGTACATCTGCTTGTTCTGGCTATTGGACAACTTGTAAATTATCTACCTACATAAAATTTGTTAATTTCTCATGTGACTAATGTTTTTAATGAGAAATAAATGTTCTTTAAACCTAAACCTAATTTCTCTTTATCACTATTTCTATAACTAAATTCACTCTCATTTTGTGTGTCCACTGTCCAGGTACACTGGCAACACTATAATGTCCTCATTGCATATCTGTTAGTTAACTACTTAAGTCTATTTTAGAGTAATTTCCTATCTACCTGTGACGTCAGTGTCCGGGATGGCTTCTCCCGTGTCCGGTCTACGGAAGCGTCGGCACCGATCTCACATAGTCTTTTTCTTTCTGTCTCAAGTTTACAACCCGCTAGTGGTGGGCACTGGTTCACTCTCACTCGAGTCCGGCACGGGCACCACTGTGACGTCGGTGTCCGGGACGGGCGCTTCCGTGTCCGGGCCACCGGACGCGTCGGCACCGATCTCACTATGTCTAGCAAATACCCAATTTAACGTAAATGTACATAACTGCCTAAAGATTTTAACCCGCTAGTGGTGGGCACAGGTTCACTCTCACTCGTGTCCGGCACGGGCACCACTGTGACGTCGGTGTCCGGGTTGGGCGCCCCCGTGTCCGGGCCACAGGTCGGCACCACTTTCGCTGAATATCTAACGAATACCCCATTTAACGTAACATAAAGTATATTTCTTTCTGTGCAAGTTTACAACCCGCTAGTGGTGGGNTGAATAGCGCACGGTAATTTCCCTAATGTGCGGTAATTCTCCTAATCAGTTCTCAAAGCGAGTGCCTACGCATATGTATTATTTGCGAGAATCCCCGAAAAAACGTAAATAACTAACGATGACGTAATCATCATCTAGACCCCCTACCCCCCCATGTCATCCAAAATAAGCAAAACAGAGACCCCCCCACCCCCCCTTGGTGCTTACGTAATACTTGAACGGCCCCTTATCAGATATTTACTATTTATGTATTCGACATTAGAGTGAATAATCCAGAAAAAGAATATTTTTTTAAAGGCCTTAATATGACTTTTTGTAACTTTTTGGACTTTAAATAAAAGCCGTCATTATTATAAGCCATTTTGTTGATGTTTAGCTTAAAGATTAATGTATTTCATTTTATTATAATTAATACTACAACAATAAAAAACTACAACAATTTCCTAATGGAAATTGTTGTAGTTTTTTAATATCCGGTATCCGGCCGGATAGTGAGTTACTATCCGGTATCCGGCCGGATAGTAAATTTAGGCCGGATATCCGGCCTACCGGATAGTTACCGGATATCCGTTTCATCTCTAGAAATAAGTGTCATAAAACATGCAAAAACAAATTTACTCTGTTTAGTCCAAATGTTAACTGGCACAGAATTCCTTATGGCGTTAAGCTCAAATAAAAAAAACAAAGAAGCAGACGCCACAAACGAACTTACTTGCCAACCTCTGGATGCAGCTGGAAGTCTGGCGCGAAGAACTCCAAATACTCGGTGTAAGGTAACTCGTTGGATATGTTGTCGTCAACTAAAAGGGACGTCTCGTACGTCCAGCAACGCGCGACGTTTCGTAAGGTGTACCTGTGAGGAAAACCAGTAAACTTTAATTAAGTAGAAAGTAAAAAAAGAAAGAAAGAAAGAAACATTTATTGCCATGGACATCACAAAAGACAAAAGAAGTAAAATAAAAAAAAAGCAAATAAGACAGAGGTGACATAAAACATACAATGAAAGAGCAAGTAAACTAAGCAGTGCCACCCTGTCGCACAGCGATGCCCATCGCAATGGGACCCCACTCAGCATATGCCGTGGCCCCCGATGAGGGAGGCCACGACGCTGGTTTTCAGTGTGCCCCATGCCGAGTGGGAGTCACGGACAGTACGTACACTTAGGCTGAGTTGCACCGCCTAACTTTGACTGTAACTATAACGATAACCAGGTTTTTTGTATGGAGTTTGACAAATTTTTGACGTTTGGCATGGAAAGTATGATGGTGCAACCCAGCCTTACCACAGTATGATAGAAAAGGAAACATTACTTTATTTTTGAAAACTGCATCCAAAGATTTCCGAAAATTCGCTTGCCACGCTCGCTCGGGAATCGAACCTTCTAAAATCTGTTAAAATTACACAGACTAAAATCTGTTAAAATTACACCCTGTATTTTATTGCACGAATCGGTGACGAGCCACAATGCCACTGCCAGCTATCTTTTCGTCGTCGACCTTGACAATGCTTGTTTATTTTGCCGATTTTCATTTCGACCAAAGGACATCCACTACTGCACAAAAGCCTCCTGCACTTCCCGCGACCTAGCTATCGACTAGATCGTCAGTCTACCAAGAGGGAGTGGGTGCTCTGCCTATATTACGTCACGGATCAGAATCCGTGTTCGCCATTCGAGAACATTTCTGCCCTAATGACCATCAGTTTTGCAGTTTATTTCATTACGTCGCATCCTTAGAAACTAAATACTTGTAAATATGAAGACTAAAAAAACTGAATCGCAATATGTGCTGGTAAGCGCACAAACTCAACAACGTCTGGACCAATTTTCCCAATTCCTTTTTTTTTAATGTTTGTTGAAGTCGGATGGTTGAAGAAGGATGGTTTTTACGGCGAGAAAAATTCGAATAATTTCCGGGAAAACCCCGTGCGAAGCCGCGGGCGGAAAGCTAGTAAACAATAGTAATAAAGGTTAACTGGCAGAAAATGCCCAATAAGAAATGTCCATTAAGTTCGCCTTATGTACCAATTATATGACATAAATAAATAAATTTATCTCACCCTCCGCCCCCAACCACGAGCGTAGGCACGTTAAGGTTCTTGACAAACTTGACGCACTCCCCGTGGCCGCGGGTGGACAGGGCGAAGCACCCGAGCCGGTCGCCCGCTAGCGAGTCCGCGCCGCACTGCAGCACTATAGCAGTCGGACGGTAGAACTCCATAACGTTCGATATCACCGGCTTGAACACCTGGAAATTGAGGGCTCGATTTAAATGGCAATGCCAGGTTTTGTATAGAAGGTGTCGTCTTTTTTTTTTCGCGCGGCCCTCGACCAAAGTTTGTTTTTTTATTACAAAATAGTGCAATAAACCAAAATTAGTATAGCATATATACCTCTAAACTCAGTCTGAACTGAGTTACAAGCATTAGAAGTTTGATGATTTTACATACTAGATTTGCTTTTTGCGCGCAAGTTTTGTAAGAAATTGCAACAAAATATTGCGCTATTTTTTTATTGCGCTGATTCTACTTCATACTGATGTCTGGAGCCTTTAACGGATGGTATTGTTTGTTTACACATACAATGTCACTATTTTGTTACAATTTCTTACAAAACTTGCGCGCAAAAAGCAAATCTAGTANGCTATTTTTTTATTGCGCTGATTCTACTTCATACTGATGTCTGGAGCCTTTAACGGATGGTATTGTTTGTTTACACATACAATGTCACTATTTTGTTGCAATTTCTTACAAAACTTGCGCGCAAAAAGCAAATCTAGTATGTAAAATCATCAAACTTCTAATGCTCGTAACTCAGTTCAGACTGAGTTTAAAGGTTTACATGTCATAGTAAGTTTGGTTTATTACACTATTTTGTAATCAAAAAACAAGGTTTGGTCGATGGACGCGCGAAAAAAAAAAGACGCCAGTTTCCGGCATTGTCTTTTTAATAAACTTTTTTTAAATCAGTATGTGACAGGTTCGTTTGTTTCAGTCGAAAGACGTCCACTGCTGCACCTGCCTCTCTCAAGGTTTTCCACAAAGACCGGTCCTGGGCCGCCCGCATCCAGACACCTCCCGCGACCTTCACAGATTGTCGGTCCACCATCTAGCTAGTGGGAGGCCTGCCCACACTACGTCTTCCGGCTCGTGGTCACCATGTGACAGGGATTTGACCATAATCCACACCTAATGTTTATTGAGAAGAAGTCCAGAATGGTACGTAGTGCCTATTCAGTCGCCTTGAAGAGGCCCGAATTATAGTGAACGAAAGACAGAAGCAGGCAGCGATTTCCAGTTCCTAGCTGTGCGCATTATAAAAGAACAAAACGCTTAGTGCAAGCTGGTGGAATCTCGAAAATAGACTATCTTTACCTAAAAGCTGCCAGACTTAGGCGCCTTCAAATTAGAGGCGTAAGGAAGAACTGCAGTGGCGCCACTAATACTTCATACAATTTCTAAAAGCACAATGCACGTCGCGACGCGTCGTGCTTATCACTGTAGTGGCAAACTGCATGTATCAATTCCAGCATAAATAGTGTTAAACGAAATCTCTTCAAAGACTGGTTTGATGTGCATTCTTGAAAGGTGCTTTTCTTTTTGTATTAAGCTTTAATTTAATTAGTAGTAGGTAACTTTGGCTTGGTAACTTCTTTTCTATTTTTGTTTATTGATAAACAAGCATTACTCAGGCTCTAAATGTGAAAACATGTTAATAGTTATAAGTTTTCTAAAATGTTAGTCTACATAGTTTCTACACTGTATTGTTTTCCTTGTAAAATAAAAATAAAAAATAAATAAAATTGGTTTGGGAGTTTTCAAAAAAAGTATTAGTTTGGTCTATGACTATTCATATGATAGTGAAAGCTATTCTAGTTCGGGACCACATAAAGAAAAATGTAAGTTATTGTACTCCTATCCTACGTCCTACTAATATTATAAATGCGAAAGTTTGTATGGATGTCGGGATGTCAACATGTTTGTTACTCTTTCTCGCAAAAACTACTGAACGGATTATGATGAAACTTTACAGTATTATTGTTTATAACCCAGAATAACATATAGGCTATAATTTATGATGATCTGTGAGAAACTAAATTTCACGCAGGTGAAGCCGCAGGCAAAAGCTAGTGATTAATAAATATGATCTTACCTGCACATAGCTTTGGTCATCAATGCCTTCCTTAAGTGGCACATTCACAGAGTAGTATCTACCACTTTCAGCGCCAATTTCATACATATCTCCTGTACCAGGGAAGAAGTAATTGCCGTATTTGTGGAAACTGACGGTCATTACTCTATCCGTCAGATAAAAAGCCTCTTGAACGCCGTCTCCGTGATGCACGTCAATGTCTATGTACAGAACTCGAGGGTGGTATTTAAGCAGCTCTAGTATTGCTATCACAATGTCGTTTACGTAACAGAATCCTGAAAAATATAAAGTTCACAGCAGGGTTCGAGGATATATATCAAGGGATATATATCAAGATATATATCGGATATATATCCGATATATATCAAGCCGGTTTTGATGATATATATCAACTTTTAAAAATTGTTACTGTATTTGTACTTTTTGACAAAGATTTTTATTTTTTTAGTCGTTTTTGCCGTATTTAAAAGAATATTTTATGTTTTTGCTTTATTTGTCTGATTTTAAGTTTTAAAAACATTAAAAAAATGTTTAAGAGTAACACTAGAGTAACACAATGCATTAGTATTCATGAATAATACAATAAAATAATTATGGCTTTCATACAAACTTGATATATATCATAAATATCCGATATTTTGATATTTATAATAAATATCGGATATTTTCGAACCACAGTGAGTTCACAGTCCTCACAAAAACTTCAGGTTTCCTCTTTATCAAGTAGATGTAATGTAAGTAAATAAAAATATAGTCTCCTAAATGGGATTTTCCCAAAGGGCATCCTGCATTTAATGGTTTTTAAAATGTGAACAATATTACAAAAAAATATTCTACTCTACTACTTACCTGAAGGTTCAAATTTTTTAGCATGGTGCAGTCCTCCTGACCAGTTGATAGCAATATCACACGAGTTGTTGTTTAACTTCATGGCACCTTCCAACGAAGCGCCGGTGTACATCGAACAGAAATCAAAAAGACCCTCGAACACAGGACAATCATCGCCTACGTTGTAATGCAGCAAGTCTTTTGAATAACCTTACACAGAAATTAATTTGATGTAATGATACTTTAAAAATATTTGAAGCAAGGACCTAGCACAAAAAAGTGACAAACGCATCTTTTAATGTTTACGTGGGTCTAATATGTTATTAAGGGCCGATTTTTCAATCGTCAGATAACTTTTAACTGGAGAATAAACTTGTCACTTTGACATATTTTCCATATTGAAACTGTCAACGTGCCAAACTTATTCTTCAGTTAAAAGTTATCCGACGATTGAAAAATCAGCCCTAAGTAGGATTAAAACGGAACATTACTTTTTATAGAGTAAGTTCAAGAAATAACAAGGTATTATGTTTGTAATTAGGTAGGTAATGCATAGCAAATCTATAATTTCACAATACTCATAATACTTTAGCAGTGAACTAAAAAATTCAAGTGGCTTACTTTGTATATTTTGTGGGGTGACATTCTGCAAGAACTCGATGTAGTCTTCACTGTGGAAGCGACACATATCGTGGGCACTGGCTCGGTAAGGCTTGTAGATCTGCATCTTTTTATGCAGACCATAGTTGAGGACCAAACTATGCGTCACGGATAACCTGTGAGGTTTCATAGGGTGCCCTGGCCCATAATGAAAATTCCCCACGTCCGCGTTATAAAAATAAGCAACCCGATGCTGACTCATATCGGATAAACAAACACGTATTCCTTCAAAATGTAAATAATACCAAGAATTAAAGCAATCACTATCAAACGTTTAGTTAGTTGAATGTCACCTAACATAGCAGCTACTCCATTCTTTTATATTGAAATCACGAAACACTAACACAATGTGGGAATAACTATTGTACTTTGTAAGTTGCCTAAAACCCGAAAAAAATACTTCAACGCACAAAAATTCTGAAGAAAACTGTGAAAATGCATGGAAAATGCAGTGCAGCACCAACCAACAAACACAAAATCACAGATTATAAAATCAAAATCACAGATTTGAAAGAAAAAAACCACAGATAAGGAAAACTTAATGTGTCAGTGACAAGAATCACTCTCATGCCGCTTTTACATTATGCACATGAAGCTACAGATAAAAATGGAGGCCACACTCCGAATACCTACTTGAAGCACAAACTAAAGTAACACTATCTCGCTCTCTGTGGGCAGACTCGCTCGTTCTAAATAAACAAAAAATATATAATTGCTCAAATTCAATGAAACCAATGTAAAATCTTTATTTCTTGACATAGGTATCATTAAAAATGATAAGTGTAATTACTGGTAAAACGTTTTAGGAAGAAATTACTGTAAAAAATGTGAAAAATGTTTACAATGATCCAATGTCGGAAATCACGAAATAAACACTTACGCGTGGAATCTTATGTCACTTCCAGGACACCACGTACTACCGCAACCACGTACTACAAAATTTTGTACCAATTGATTCTTGTGATAAAACAATGATTATTTCCTGTAAACAATCTCAAACGAAATTAACTGCTTAATAAACAAAATAGTAAACAACCGCCATGAACCATGATGGGCCGGATTGGGCCGATGTTGCCACATGGTACCGATTACCCAGGAATTGGGATTGTAATTCCCTGATTCGCCAACACATTAATCCTAAATGGCCGACAATTTTATGATTTTTTATTTAACTAGGAAATCTTAGTTTCAAATATTAATTATTTATTTGTTTAACTTCTGATTTGGTTAGTGTATTGGCTATTTCGAAGAATTTACAAGTAGATTTAAATCAGAAGATAGCAATACTACAGTTCACACTAAAAAGAGAGGTAGGGCCGCAGAGAGCGAGATAGATATAAGTAGGTATTTGACTCAAGTTTTTGTTCCAACTCTGCCCTCCATTTTTATCTTTAGCTTCATGATTATAGATGACCCACGCTGAACTGTCCCGCCAAACTCAATGACAGGGGGGCGCTACCATCGTTCAACTATATGGTTTCCAACATGTCAAAAGTCGGAACCAGCGATCCGGTATTGACGGTGGCGCCCCACTGTCAATGTCATCGATAGGACAGTCCAGTATTTTGGAACTATATGCCGCTTTTACTTTATGCCGCTTTTACACTGCGCGGAAATTAGACAAGTCAAGTCAAAAAAACAGTGGAGTGAGGATGAAATTCATTCATTTTTCATCCCCACCCACAGATATGGATTAGAGAAAATATGAAGGAAACAGGAGCAGCGACATCTAGAGCGTTTTAGGGTAGTTAAAAAGTATTTGAATTTATTCACCGATGTCGCTGTTTGGAAGCAAGTTTCACTTCGATGACCGTTGTATGGAAGTTTCTTCACCTGAAAAAAAATGTCAATGTCATTCACAGATGTCATTAGAATTGTAAAATGTTTTTGTTGTGTTTTCTTCTTTCATAATTTTTGTATTAATCTCTAAGTTGTGTTTGTAATAAGCCGTGAATTACATTAAATAGATTATCATACAAAATAACAAACAGCAGCTTAAAAGGAATCATAACTTTGTTAAAAGTAGGCCAAAGAAATCTTTGGCAAGCACTTTAAGAGTTCCACAAGCATTTAACAACAATATGCCTGTTAAAAAGTGCATTGTGACCGGTTGCTCTTCAACGTTGAGTACCACCAGGTTATACAACTTCCCAAGGTCACATAGTGTGTTGAAAACATGGCTACAATATCTTATCCCAGTAGAACCGCACCTAAAATCACGGACACCAAGGCAACTCAGACAGTCAAAGGTAATTTTTACACTATCCCTCCATAATCTGCGATTGTAGAGCTAATTTAACATTAACATAATAAATTAAAATAATTAATGAGCATAATACAAAATCAAAACAAATGCTTAGGTTATGTATGTGTCGCAGTCGGATTGTACATCTTGGTCATTGTAATAGTCAATTAAAATAGCTGACACTATATTATTGCATATTAATTTCAAATGTCTGCCGGACTCCCTTGCCATATCATTCCAACCCTCAACATTCATTTTCTAATTCAAATTATTTTATTGCAATTATCATATGGCATGGGTAAGGGTTGACAGAACATAATATTTATTATTTTTTCATTGTGACGCCCCGTGAAGGTGTTGCAAAACTTTAAAATGGATAACATTTTCTTTTTAATACCTTTATTTGAGGTGAATCACCCCAGATGATGTTATTGTTTAGCACACTAAATAGATCTAGCTAATAAAAGCAATAATGCCACTTAAATCTTTCATGAGAGACATAATAATTCTTGTATTCACACCCCTTTAAGATCCTTGTTTCCTCATGGTCCTACTAATTTGTCCTACTAGTAAGACCACCAGGAAGGCTAGTTCCTTGTGGTCCTATTATTGTTTTAAAAAAAAGCATAGGAGAAGAGGTTATCACTAGATTCTTCAGATTTGAGTGCAATAAAACCCTAAATATCAACAGGGTCTATAAATGTATTATAACCAACTAGCCCTTGTCTACAGAAGTGGAGAAATCCTATGTTTGTTATGGGAATAAATGGAAAGATATAAGTAAAATTGTATAAAAACTTGAACATTTGCTGGTTGTTTAATGGAGATAATCTTACATACAAAAAGTATGGAAAAAAAATCCACATTATTTTGTGGAGTGCTGTGAACTGCTGTGCTGTGGTGGAGTGGAGTGTTTTTNAATTTGTTCCTTGTGGTCCTATTATTGTTTAAAAAAAAGACACAGGAGAAGAGGTTATCACTAGATTTTTCAGATTTGAGTGCAATAACAACCCTAAAAATGTGAATAGGGTCTATAAATGTATAAACCAACTAGCCCTTGTCTACAGAAGTTGAGAAGTCCTATGTTTGTTATGGGAACAGATCCTTTAAATGGAAAGATATAGGTAAAATTATATAAAAACTTGAACATTTGCTAGTTGTTTAATGGAGATAATCTTACATACAAAAAGTATGCAAAAAAAATTCACATTATTTTGTGGAGCTGCTGTGAACTGCTGTTGTGGAGTGCTTTTGGAGTGCCCCCTAGCGGAATATTTCACTAACTAAAATTACATCAAGTTTTGAATAGTCTCAATAGATGGCGTTATTGGTACCTATATTCGTGGCTTTACGTGCAAACCGCACGAGGCCAAATCGAACCAAAAAAAAAACACTGTCATTGCACTTGTTGGCTTGTCATAGTTGTCATGTTATTTTCATTGGATTCTTTTTGTGCACGGGGTTTTTGGTTGGTTTGTTGTTTAAAATTTGGTTTTATTGTTATAACCAAATAAAGAGTTTGAAACAATATTAATTTAAAAACGAATTATGCCTATTTCGAGGTGTATCATACCCGGTTGCCCGTCGACGCGGGAGACCACTATGTTACACAAATTCCCCACTAAATTTAATATGCAGTTACTATGGTTAAAGTATATTCTCCCATATAATCCGCAGCTAAAATCACAGACACCAGAACAATTATGTCAAAGAAAGGTAATTTTATTTATATATACTACTGTTGACCTCAAGACAGCGTTTTATTCACTAGTCGTAGTAACCCAGTCAGTGTAGGAATGAGTGACTAGGAGAACTCAGGGGGAGGGCGTTCCACCCTCCTCTAAGGGTCCTCCCTTAGGAAGGTGGACCTGGTTTGTATAAAAAAATTACAGTGATTGTTATGATAATTTCCAAGTTTTATGGCACCTTCAAATGATGCCAATATGCCATTGCAGCGCGTCTTCTCGCCTCTAATTTGAAGGTGCTCTTACTTTCTTCTAGATCAGGTGTCTCCAAACGTAAACTTTGAAGCCTTGGGGCCATAATATTTTTTTCGGTATGTAGCAAGTGCCATAATTTAAAATTTTCTGCCCACCTATGCAAACATAGGCTTAAGTCTTAAGCTGTCGCGGGCCGGATTGATGACAGTGGTGGGCTGGATATGGCCTGCGGGCAGGCCGGTAGTTTAGACTCCTGTTCTAGATGGTTAGTGTCCATAGTTATGGGTATAAATCGGTACCTAAATGCATATCTGTGCTTAACGCCAGTGTTGCAGATGTTTTAGATTTAATTTAGTACCCTTCATCATTGCCGATAACTGTTGGCAAATTGTGTTAGGTAACACTACTAAGTTAAAATGTAAATTAAACTAATTTTCTTATTATTACCTGTACATTACACTGATTATGCTCTTTCCCACTTTTCCATAGAAACAATATCTCATTAACAGTATTTATTTCATTGCAAAATCCTTACATCTATCAATATGTACTTGGTGATTTTTATTACATACCATACAATGGCCTAGTCAAAATATTTAGTAATGGTTACATAAATTATACTATCCCCTGTAAACTTTGTTAAAAAAAGTTTGGATAGACGACTTACTTTTATTCTTTGTTTCAGGTCTGTGTGCGTCATTTTGAGGCCCAATACATAAATAAAGATAATAGAAGAGCTATGGACTGTGCTCCGACATTATTTACCGAAGAAGAAATGAGAACTGGAATACCAACAACCCCTTTGCCTAGTAGTAAGTACATGTACAACAAGTATATCTGTATGTATAATCCTGTCAACAAGTGCAGAGACAGGTGGAAAAGTGGTGATTGAAGTAAAAATATAGCATAAAATGTCAAATCTGCTGGAAACAGGGTTTGAAAGGATAATTATCAATAACAGATGGATAATTATCGGTTCGAACCCTGGCTGCAAAAATACAATCCACAACTACATTCTGCAAACATTACTCCTCTGTTGTTTTGTAAATGTTTACTTAGTTATCATCCATTTCACATTAACTTCACCCATTCACCATTGCAATGGGTATCATGATGTCCACAACACTACTCAGTTCATTATCACTTTTTTTATTTTATTGATTCTTAAGATGATTCTTCTGAAGAGATTAACCCCTATACTGTCTCCTGTACTGTGACTAAACATATTTTTCTTATAAATTTCAGAATTGCCTAAAATACTGTATAGTGAACATAACTACTCAGTTGGTCCTGACGTAAATTTTTATGCTGAACATAATTACTGTAAACCAGATGATCAAGAACAATTAAAAGGTATGTTACAGACTGTGTGCACATTAATGGGACTTTATGGCAAGGGAATTTTAGATGACTATAATAAAGTGCCTTAAAATTTTAGTGCTATGGATGAAATTGCAATGTTTCTCGAAGGAAGCACGGAATGCTTAGGAATACCAAATCGGCAGCCTTCATTGCAATTTACTTCTCACTTAAAAATCCCTTGCCATGCCTTCCCTTTGTCTAAGACCCGATTTCCACCAAGGTGAAGCAGAGAAATGTTTTGAGTAACCAATCAGATTTTATTCTCCAATAAATGAATGAATGCAGAATAAAATTTGACAGAATGACCTGATTGGTTATTCAAAACATTTTCCGCTCTGCTTTGGTGGAAACGGGCCGGGACTGGATGCAGCAGTGTAATAATAATTATGTCCGCATAAGGATATTTAAATAACTAATGGTGCTTTTTTACAGAATTCGTAAACTTAATGGATGATATAGCAAATTATGAAGAAACCAATTTTGATGATCCTGATGACCCAATAGACGAGAAAAGGAACAAAAGTAAAACATTAAACGAAATTCAACAATACATTGATGAATTTGCTAAACAAATTCAACAAGGAGATGAGGACCCACCCCTAGAAGATGTAGTTTTAACAAATGAATCTTTCAAAGATACTCTTGAATCATATAATTTCTCTTCAAATATCATCTATACAAATAAAGAACTGAAGCGAGTTGATGCTTTAGAATATCTAATGTACCCTGAAAGAGCATATGCTGCGATAACATTCTGCATTCTAAAACAACAGGCTTTGCTTGAGGAATGTATTCATAATTTCGTTGAATGGGCAAATAAAACATATTATGATATCGAAGGTATACCAGAAAAGATTGAAGAAATATTTTCCCATGGAAATTTTATGAAAACCACTTTTAAAATATTGCAAATAGTGTGCAAATATCGAGCCAAAAACACTGAAATGCGCAAAGAATATTTTGCTAAGAAAACAATAGATCCAAAGTTTAAAGAAACCTTAAACAACATACCGTATACCTCAAATCTTCTATTTAAAGATGATGATCTTAAAAATGTACTGCAAGATACGACCCTGGGCCAAGTTTTTAAAACGAAAAAAAGACAGAAAAAAAATGATAGAGGTATACAGGTTAATATTTTACCTAAAAAATCAGATAAGGCTGCACAAGTTACACAAAAAAAAATAAGAAAAGCTTCGAAAGCAGTTCAGGCTAACACTAACGAATTAGAAGGTATTTCTACAGCAAATAAAGTTAAAAAGAAAGATACAGGCTCGCAAACTTCAGATAAAGACAAACTGTTAGGTGAAACTATATTTTACAGCAACAATCCGCCTACACAGGACGACGTTGAAACGAACAATCCTCCGCCTATAAGTCATTGTCAAAAGATACAGTATGTTGTCAATATTAAGAGGAAGCCTGGCGTTATTAAAAAGCTACATAAAACCACCGATAGCCATAATAAAGTCAGTGTTCCATTAGATCATAGTAACGCTCCATCTCAAAATGGTTCAACTGGACACAACAGAGAGAGCAGAGGGTCGCTTTATACGGATCCGCACCACGAGCCAAGACCAAAGAAAAGACAAAAAACTACCAAAGGTGCCCAGGGCCCTAGCATGCCTTTGCTTTGGGACGCGTGCCAGAACCTTCTCTCACTGGGAGGAGATTCTAATATACAGGAGAATGATGAAAGAGTTCATTCTACCCTCGAGAGGGAAATTGTACCTCAGAATCGAACTGAGTCTCGTCCAAGCCATGGAAAAAAGCGACGTCCTAAAATACTAGAGCCATGCAATGAGCCCACTTCACCGATGTCATTAAGTGGGACAGTTATGAGAGGAACGATTTCAGATTTTCATATCATGCCTGGGAAATCGACTAAGGAATTGCACGTGTGTGACAGCCCGTATTTATTAGGAGGATGTAAGCACACGCACGAACAATCTGAAAATGTTTCTAGTATAGATAACGCTAATCGAGAATTTTTCTCGCGAGGGGGCAAACTGAGACGGCAAATGGAGCTTCCTGAAGAAAGATCTGGTTATCCATATGCCCCGAAAACTAATGAAGTCGCGAGTGGTCCAGGTTTTGGTGGGCCATCTGAGGTGGTGCATCAGCATACACAGAACACAGTTGCGAATAATCCTGACGGTTCACCTATCACCTTGCTAAACTACGACAATTTACCAATACGATGGGTATAGGCAGAATAATTGGAAATCGAGCACAGTGCATGGGTCGCAGAGCTAGCATTGGGGGAAAAATCAGATTCAGCAATAAACTGAGCTAAATATAACATCTACTGTGAGAATGATAATCATCTGAACATTTACTTGCCTTAGAGGCATATTCAGGTTGGTACTTTTTTTATAAAACAACATTATTAAAATGTAATTTTAATTTACAAACCGATCGAGTAACTGCGCACCTCGCTGGAATGCGATTGCCTCCCTCTTATCCACACACGTCACCGCGTTCGCCCCGTCAGTACCATAACGTCGATGTGACGTCACGGCATCCTGTTGCGCAGTTAACTCGACTGGGTTGTACATACCTATTACATTTTATGAATACAAAATATCCTGAGTCTATTTCACTAATCTGATGTGTTTATTAAAGTTGTTGCAAATAAACTCTTTTTTTTTTTCAGATAACGAGAGAAAAGGGGCCAACTTTTTTACCTACTTTACAAAATACTATTTAAATTAAAAATAATTATAGTTTTAAGAGAAAAAGTACCCGATGCGGGGCACCAGGTTTTACTAAAATTATGAAACCTATCATTGCTGATACAAGCGATATGATTCAATGAATGCTCCAGCTACCAGCAAGTGAGCGATTCTATCGATCTTCTCAATTTGTTTCTATTGATTAATTAATTGGTTTAAAACCATGATTTTGTATTGAAGGCACTGAAATTAAGTTATTCTGTGTAAAATATTGTTGATCTATCAATCAAAGAATACTAATGTGTTAAACAATTTGAATAATAATAAAAATACTGTGATATTCGAAGTTGTTTTACTTATTTTTGTCGCTTAAACAATAATATAGAGGAGTAATAATTCTATGCCTCAGGCTTTGACTACTGCCTCAGGGTCAGGGCAAACTCAGGGTACAATTAATTTGAAAAGTTGCCCCACCATAAGTGACGCTCACCATGCGTGGCTGCCTGCTTTTCTATATATATGTGATAACTTGTCACTGTGGCACAACTCTATGACAGAATGTCTCTCTTTTTAGGGTTCCGTAGCCAAAATGGCAAAAACGGAACCCTTATAGTTTCGTCATGTCCGTCTGTCCGNAGCCACGATAGCCGAACGGTGAAGGGGTCGGACTGGCCAACTCGTGATCCGGGGAACGCGGGTTCGGTCCCCGCCGCCGCTCGACTATTGTGGTGAGCTCACTCGTGACACAAGCATATTTAGCTTAGTACGAGGGGCTAACGGGAATATTAGTAATTTGTGTAATAACAAATTACTAATAATCTTTTTAAAAAAAAAAAAAAAAAAAAAAAACGTCGATGTGACGTCACGGCAGCCTGTTGCGCAGTTAACTCGACTGGGTTGTACATACCTATTACATTTTAATTTTATAAATTAGACAAAAAATCCTGAAGTCTATTTCATAAATCTGATGTGTTTATTAAAGTTGTTGAAAATAAACTTTTTTTTTTTCAGATAACGAGAGAAAAGGGGCCAACTTTTTTACCTACTTTACAAAATACTATTTAAATTAAAAATAATTATAGTTTTAAGAGAAAAAGTATCCGATGCGGGGCACCAGGTTTTACTAAAATTATGAAACCTATCATTGCTGATACAAGCGATATGATTCAATGAATGCTCCAGCTACCAGCAAGCGAGCGATTCTATCGATCTTCTCAATTTGTTTCTATTGATTAATTAATTGGTTTAAAACCATGATTTTGTATTGAAGGCACTGAAATTAAGTTATTCTGTGTAAAATATTGTTGATCTATCAATCAAAGAATACTAATGTGTTAAACAATTTGAATAATAATAAAAATACTGTGATATTCGAAGTTGTTTTACTTATTTTTGTCGCTTAAACAATAATATAGAGGAGTAATAATTCTATGCCTCAGGCTTTGACTACTGCCTCAGGGTCAGGGCACATTCAGGGTACAATTAATTTGAAAAGTTGCCCCACCATAAGTGACGCTCACCATGCGTGGCTGCTTGAGCCCCGATTACGGTAACTTTTAATGCTTTTAACGTTTCCAATCCAGACACGCTTCTCGATTCTGCGATACGATTGGTCGTTCAACAGCGTACGTCAGCTGTTTTGACCAATCGTATTGCAGAATCAGAAACGCGTCTGGATTGGAAACGTTAAAAGTTACCGTAATCGGGGCTCTACTTTTCTAACTAAAAGTTAATTAAGGTGTGCGCGCACCATGAAGCTAAAGATAAAAATGGAGGCCAGACTTAGAATACCTACTTGAAGCACAACCTATGTATCACTATCTCGCTCTCTGTGGGCAGGCTCTCTCTTTCTAAGTAGGGTAACCTTTTATTTATTTTTCTCAGGACGACAAAGACTGATTTACGTTTAAACAGTGTGTCTTGATAAAGTGCACTTAATATGATTATGAAAAAAGGTTTTCGATGTTTTTGTTTTAAGATGAATTACAACATTAAGAAAGTGTAAAGGCATCGAAAACTGTGGATATTTGATAGAAAACAGATTTTAATTTGGCAGTTGACAGACGGATTTGGATATGGATTGATTACAGTAAACGGCCGTAGAAAACATTATGCAAAATTAGATAAGTAAGGTCCCAAGTTAAGTTCTTGTCCAGGTCAAAAGTATAATTTCCCTGGGTCTTCGTTTCGACCATTGTTGTAACGAAACGAAAAAACTTAGAATGTAACGCACTGCACCACTACACTCGGCCATTTCATCCCAAGAGGCCATTGAGGCAGGACAGTACGTCGTTGATCAGTTTCGCGACAAATCGCATAAATAGGTCCCTCCTTGGGTTTTTGTTTACTAAAAAGTCAATTTCTTTGGACGGCTTTTTGCAGCTAAACAATGGATTAATTTTATTGTTTATTTACACAAATGTAGTGTCTGTAGGGGTAAACCCATGATTTTTAAATAGTAAATGCATAGGGTAAATAGGTTTTTGTCTGTGGTGTCTTTTAGGCATAAATCTAATTTCTTTGGTCCTAATTTCCTTGTTTTCCGTGGCATAAAATGACCTGGGAAATTATAAAAGACCTTTAATAATTCGGCGTAAAGTCAAATTTTGAGTATTTCTTTATTGAAATAAGTTTAAAATTTACATTTTAAGAAATAGGTATCAGAATAGATACAGAAAAACTGTTTTTTTAACTCTTAACTCAATCAACTGCATTTATCTTCCTTAGTTGTGTAAAAAGGTCGTAATGATATAATATTCATTGGCATGTTTGCTTGCGAAAGTACACAAAAATGGGTCGAAAAAAAAAGCAAACCACAGAAGAAAATTTAGAAAAAAAAATATTTATAATAATTTCCTTGGCTACCAAAAATTTATGACCTCATAACTTTGTTTCTAAAACGAATTATGACACCCCTTCTAGATATATTAGCTTAATTTTTACTACTTAATGCATTGGGAAACAAAAAATAGTTAAAAACAAAAATAAAATTCGTGCCAAGGAAATTAGACAAAATTGACCATTTTTGGCGAAATACCCTGTGGCACACCTCCATGACAGAATGTCTCTCTTTTTCTCCTTGTTACAACTTACAGTAAAGGTGTAAAAGAGAAAGATGTCGACAAAAAAATGTAAAATTATATGTTCAAACTCTAATCCATATCTGTGTGTTCAAACAAGCCGTGCGTGCCAGAAAAAAAAAAAAAGTGTTCAAACAACTGAATAACAAGACGTCGTGACGCGTGACGGTATTAAAAAAAAGTAAAACGTCAAAAATTGCCGGCCGATTTTCTCGACGTTTTGTGTGGCGATTAAAAGTTGATAAAAATTGCCAAATAAACAGCTGCTTCTTCTGTTAATTCATCACTATCGAATCGGTGAGTTTTTTTTACCAAAGTGTTTTTAAAATCGCAATAAAATTGTGCCACAACTACAACCAACTAAGTCGAACGAATGTCCCTTTTCAATACTAACCTCATGATGACTAACCTTACCTTCTGTTGTATTTGTTCGCGTCTGCATTATGTAATTTGTAGGTTCTTTATCGATGTTTCCATGAAGATAATTTATTGCATTCGCTGCCATTGCTATCTAGACAAGAAAACCTTAAAAAGTTTTTGAAATTGGCTCGAAACTGATGAACCACGTAGGTAAACAAAACAACACAGAATTTAAATTAGAAATCAGGACAACAGTATGTCCCGTAAATAAATTATTTTGGGATATTAAATTGCAACTTAGATGAGTCCTTTGCGCTATATTATACTATATCCATATGGATTTGTTTTAGTATGTATGAAAGTTTAAGTTGCTATTCTAGTTTTATATACCCCATTAAAACTTTAGAAAAATTCAGTTTCATCCTTGCTATGATTTTGTATGTCAATTGCTACACTATAATCTTGTTAATTATCTTTATTGTGTGTACCATAACCAAGAAAAAGTCACATGAGTACTTTTCATAATGATGCCTATTTACAAAACAATCCATGTTTATCAGAACTGAATAAATGATAAAGAAATTGGTTTCACATATGGATGACACTGTAAAACTGTAATAGAAGATGTTTCAGTAGTTTAGGAACTATTTTTTAAACAGCAGTTAAGCAAAATGGTTTATCTTTATCTAATGTAAAAATAGGTGCCATATTCAGAAATATACTGCTACTTTTTAATAATTTAAATTCAACCATTGATACTTTTTGTAATCCTTCTTGAAAAATACATATTTTGGGTCACCTTTTTGCTGCTGAATGTGTCAAGAATCATATCCAGTTTCAATACTAGGCAACATAATACATGCAAATAATGTTCTTTAGCTATAAAAACTTTCCAAAGTTACATAATCAGTCGCTAAAAATCAAAACAAACTTTGTCTAAGTGTGAAATGTTTATTCATTTGTTTTTTTTATTCCTTGTGTGTGTGACCGAGCCCACCTCTCTTATGTCTACCTTCACTGGCTTAAACTTGTTCATGTGTTGTCATTATCCAGTACTTGTATGTAGAAAAGTGGTTTTATGAAATTACTGAAAGATTTTTCTATGTTAGAAATTGCACTAAACATTATTCATGTTTTAAAATAATACTATAGCTACTTGTTGAATGCTTTATTCCTTTTTAATGTTAATATTTTTTGCTGAACATAAACAATGTTTTTTGAAGTTTCGCTCCATATGTAACGTCAAGTGGACATTATGATTACACAACATACATTAGTTATTATCTAGACAAGATATTGCAATTAGCATCAACATTATCAGCTTTAGTTTAGTTACTTTTGCATTGACTATCATATCACTACAAACAAGCTAGCAACAGTTGAACACAACATTGAGATAAATCAACTTAGCGCAAAAAAGTGCGAGATAAAAGCACTTAAAACACTTCTCTACACACATGTACTTCTAAATAACGCGCCAACCGGTCCAGCGAGGCTTATACCTCAGTTACTCAACATACGCTGGTCGTAGCTGACGCGTTATTGATTAAAAATGTTGAGAGTGAAGACAATATTGAGATGTGCGCTCGTTTTGTTAATAGCAGACAGCACTATGGTCAATTTTAGGGTGCTAGCGAGAGCGATGTCGACCGTGGCGAAGGCGTTCGAGACGCACCAAGTGGTGCCCGATGTGGTGGCTAAGGCGCCGGCGGCTTTGGCTCAGGTGAGTGCATATTGTGATTACTATTACCGTTTCAGCTAAAGGATGTCCACTGCTGCTTGATGACTA